TTTAGCATTAATTTGAATAGGTACAGTAAATGCCAATGGAATTAGTGTTTTTACTCTTAAAATAAGACAATGCAATTGTGTTTTCTTATTTTAAGTGCAAATTCTCTTGTTCCATTGGCAAAATGTCTCTTTTGCCTCTTCAATCCAAGAAAAATTCACAAATTTTAAGAAAAAATTACTTATGTAGATTTAGATTTTTTCCAGTGTACATTGTTTGGGTATTGAGCTGTACTATACAACAGAACTTTTCTTAACTTATGTATTTTTATATCTAATCAGGTCATTTTCAAGGAAGCTTGAAAGCTGGTTACATAACTTGAACTTGTTTTTGACACCTGTTGAAAAATGTTTACGTAACTCTTCCTTCACAAACGTACAAGTAAACATTGACCGTTAAACGAGAATATTCTCCCACCGCAGTGAGTCCTTAGCTGTACAATCTCATCTCAATTTCTTTTATGAACTCTCTATTGAGTGAAGTCACATCGATTTGACATATTAACAATCCTTCTACACTGACGATCATTCCGGCTGCCAGAGGTTGAAGCCTTCTGTTTCACCTGTCAGATACTATCGCTCCCCACAGATATTATCAGGTATTAAGTGATAACCCTGATGGTGAAATAACAACTTATTCGGTACCATCCAGTGGGCTCCTCATTTATTAACACTGACAGTAAATTAGATTGCTGGCATCCGGAGGGGATCCTGGCATTTTCAATGCACCTTCCTGCTTTAAAAACTTCACTGGGTTTCAATCATAAGTAATGAAATTCCATAACCCTCCTCAGCTATGAAAGTGAGCTGGAAAGGAAGTGAAAGAAAGAGCCATTAAGAGGAGAGGAAAGAGTAATGGTCTTACCCTTTTGCTTCGAGAGGTTTCTCTCTTGTCAGTTTAAATTTGCCTTTCTTTCAGGACTTTTTCTTCTGAAGTGTTAAGCGTAGGAAAGATATGTTGACGTGTCAGGGCTCACATGACTACAGCAGGTGTGTCCTCTCGCTTAACAGGTGTGTCCAAGCTGACTGTGCTGAAATAACTGGATAAACCTGTTTGTTTTTCAATTACTTTTAATGGTTTTATCAAATGGGTGTGCTGGGAATCAGTGAGCCCCTTTGCAAGTTTAAATATTTGGTTCCTTTTTGTTTCTGTTTTTGAGTCGTACATATATAACCCAATGTAGTTAAATTACAGCATAGTTTTCTTTCTGCATAGTTATGCATGTTGATGAATTGAAGGATAAGTTATCACAAGGTGGTAATAAATGCATTTTATTTCATTATTTATTTTTCTTAGTAAAATAGAGACTTGTCTTACTTTATTTTGGTATGAATTAACATTCTGTTGTTGCATTTAATGTAGTTTGAGTAATTATCAGATTCTTTATTTGATTCAAATGCAAACCTAGTTTCCATTGTCATAGATGAATAACGATATATCTTTAGCGATAGTTTCAAGGTGTTGCTTTATTGTATATCTCGTACCATGTCTTTCGGTTGTGCTGTTCTTTTTTCATCTCGTTATAGGTGATGAAGCAGACTGAAAATGTTTTCTCATTGTCTCCTTTCTATCTCTTCTTTCTTTCATATTTTCTCTTTTTTTTCCTTTTTCCCCTTTCTTCTTCTGTTTTTCTGCTCTATTTACATTGCACTGTAAAACTCCCTGCATAATTATAATAAAGCAAATTATATGCATGAAACAAGTGGAGCGATATGGCAATTGCCTTACTGCTCCACTTGTGAAAGTAAAATCTGTTGGGCTCTTTTTGGCATCAAGACAATTATTCTTATTGCATCATTGCCAGACAGGACACTGTAAAAAAAACAAAAAAAAAAACAAAACAAAAGAATAACGATAGTTCAGTGGGTGAAATGGACAAACAGAGAATTTCAAACCCAATCAACACCTCCTTTCTATGCAAATCTCACAATTTAAAACTTTCACCAGAAAACGGGCGAATCCTAACGAAGCACCGAATTGACGGAAACGACATAAGTTGATGACATACAGACCAGCCCACTGGTTCACTGGACCAAGAACATGAATAGAGGTAGATGGAAGACAGCAGTTTAGCTGTTTAGCCTACAGTTGGGTTTACTGCTACAAGAATTACAAAGCAGGCCGTTTTTCTATTAAAAATTTGCCAGAACCACGGGCGTAAATGCAGTTTCCCAGGCTGAAACAGAGATATTGAATTGTTTTTGTCTATCAGAAGATCCCTGCAAAGTTTGATGCTCAGTTGTTCATCTACTCTAAGCATTTAGTCAAAGCTTTCACAGTTTTAATGTTTCAGCGAGTGAGTGCTTGTTGCTATGATGCGTCTTTGCTCAGCAGCTTCGCTCGTTGTCACTGCATGAAAAGTGGGATTTTCGTCAATAAACGGCACTGTAGATTGTCGTGGAACTTCAGGTTAGCGGCAGTATACAGCAATTTGCAGGCTTCGCCGAAAACTCCCGTAAATTGTCAGAAATTGACGTGGAATTTCTTAGGCAGTGTTCC